GGACATGCTAGATTTGGTCCTCTAGCCCATATGCATACCCCATACAGCCATGGTAAAGACCAGGGCAGATGGCTAAAATCGCATCCGGACCCGGGCATTTTGGATTTTTCACAATATTGACCCGGGTATTTGAAATATTTCCTCCTTGTTTTTGTTGTTGTTGTCTCTTTTGCTCCCTGTCCCATCCGCTCTTTCTCTATTGTTCCAAGCGCATATATAAGCTGTAAGACCTGTCTCTTTTCTGACAATATCCCCACCTTTGCTCACTTCAACTACCCAAGATCCCACTCACCATGCACCGCTACCGACCACTTCGCTGCTGACTATAACTTGGATGACTTGAGCGATATTTGTCACGACCACGCTCCAGCTTCCACGTCATCACACATTTCATTACATATTCCTTTTGAGCTGGACGCGTCGCGACACTCATCACTCAACACGCGTCATCACTTCCTCGTTTGTGGCACCCCTCTTGCCTATCCTGTTACCTCACAACCATCATATAGATCCAGGAGCTACGCATCTCAAGGGACATTGCTATCACAACACCTACACAGCAATTTATCTCCGAGACACAACCAACTCCGACTTAACCCGATACCTATCTCCAACCATGACCTAGACACCCAAGCAACCTCATTCCTCTCCACCCCAATTACGATTCAAAGACACACCCAATTACCCTGTAACTTAGAGACACTTTCTATACATAGAAACACTTTTCTTTACGTAAGAGTCTGCTTCCAAGATATCGCGAGCTGTAGCAATTCTAGAACTTATTTCCATAGCAACTCATGAGAAAGCGCAGCAAGCCAAGGGAACGGCTTAGTCAGTTGGGTGGCGAATATGGGAAAGCTGAGTAAGCCGCTAGGGCTCTGGATGTCTATATAAGTCGATAGTTTTACATTGATTCAAGGATCCCAGCGACCTCGAATACGTCTGACTTGTCTATGAACTAAGGAACAAGTGAACAGGCCTATTCAAACCATACTGGCTAAGCCGACAAGGAGTCTTAAACCTTAGGTTAGTTGCAAACCCCTATCGAGACCAAGATAGATTTGCATAAGGTCCCGCACGTACCCGTATATTGTTAACATATACGAAGACCACCCCTACCTTTATTTCCGACAAGAGATTCCGTTATACTGCTGAGCAGATATATAGGGACACTGTGGGTAGGACCTTAAAATATTGAGCAGACTGATACCCCTGCCACTCCTCTACGACGCAGCCCCAGAGGGCATCAGAGATCATCTGATGTGTCTGTAGAACGTCTTGGAACCTCCAGCGCCCAACGTTGCCATGCTGGTGAGTTCCATTTGTGTGACCGAGACGTGGCTGACTCATGACAGCGGGGCCTGGTTTAAGATCTCGCTGCTCAGGAAACCTGTAGACAAAGCTGGGAGAGGTGACGAGCCTGTGAGTAGCAAGCAAGCTTTTTCTTCCAATGCTATGTTGAATTGCTTTGATACGTACCTATGCTCGATAGGTGACTCTGTTGGCCAGCTCGTCGACCCCCGTCCTCCTGGTACGCACATATGTCTCTCAAAATGATGTCTACTAACCAACACGTAGTGGATCCACAAGCTTTCTTGCCGGCACCCTCGCCAGGCGGAAGGCAGACGAGATGCGGGCTTCTCAAAGGGCCAGTAGCACAAGGGACGAGGAAGAGTCAGACTCTGAGGATCAGGCTGCAGAGGGTCCAGCTGCCAAGAGGGCTCGAAGCAGCCAAGGAGGGACAAGCGGGCAGGCAGGCAGGGGCGGGCGGGGAGGGCACGTAGAGAGCGCAAGCAGGGAGAGTAGTGCATGCAATAAACGTTCTGTAGATGTCTGATGTAGCGTGTCTGAGTGTCATTTTGATATTTGTAACAGCTGCATACAATGTCCACCAGACATTATGACATACCCTTGAGAATATCCACCAGACATTCTGACATACCCTTGAAAATATCCATATGATGTTTTGGAAACTGCATAAAAATATCCGGGCGACATTCTGAAGGACGCACAACGAAATGTCTGTGTGACATTTGGACGCCAAAATGTCCGCAGGACATTCGACTTGACCGGCAGTGTACAAGTAAGCATTGGTGGAGGGCAGCCTGTTGCATTTGAGTGTCTTGACCCAGCAGATGAGAAGCGCTCCTGCAATGCATGCATGCAGGAGGCGGCCTGATAAAGCTGTGGGATGAAGGGCGGAAAGAACTTAAACAAATGAGAAGCACCTCCACTTGTGTTTACGTAATGTGCAATGCCACATCATTAAGAGTTTTGTGGAGCTCGCCGCACGCGCAGACGGGGACTTGGTGGAACATCGATGTGGCTTCTCTTTCTTTGCCCGTCGTCGTTCCCCGTCTCTTGCCCTTTGCTGTATAGCTCAGGTGTCGGTGGCAAAAGACAAAAGCGTTGGAAATTATCGATGAGGCCGGAAAGGTATAAACGGGACACTTCATAGACAGCTAGAACCTCATGGATGTTATTTTGTAAACACCCAGCTTAGAACCTCACAAGTCCTAAGCCTTGTCTGGTACAGTAGTCTAGCATGACACATATAGTCTCTTAACTTGTCAACAATGACAACAAGACATACCCAAGTCGTCCATCCACTAGGGACCTTTACACCTTATAGAATCTCTTTGTCAATTGGTGCAAGTATACCAGGCAATATCAAGCTGGCTGATTTGTGTATTGGCTCCTATGCCACCGGGTTCTGTTATCCGGTGCCATCCGAGTTGGATGACTTGTTGTTTGGCCACAATGTGCCGCTGTGCGTACATTGCTTGTAAATGAGCTCCATGGGTCAGGACCTGAGATTAATGCTGTGATATGCTTCTCGTCCTAGGTCCTGACACCCACTTATTGACAAGTGTTGAATCAACCTTGCATAGATATCTAGCAAGTGAAAGATTCCATTGTCTTTCCAGCAGTCTTAGTAGCAGAGTCTTACTAGGACCGGTCACAACAGTGTTACAAGAATGAATGCTTACTCCTGACAATAAAGATGGTCATGGAAGATATGAGTATCTTGGGAGGGAAGGTTCTTGTTGAGTGATTTTATGGGTGACATTGGGTCATCTTATTCTCTCTTGGCTACTGAGCCATACATCCGTTCAAGAGGTGAGATACCCAGAAATAGGGTATTGGTGTTTGCTCTGAGGGTGCTAAAGGGGTAATGGTCATAGAAAGGGCTGGAATGACAAAGAACATCCAAAGACTCCAAGTGCATCCAAAGACTCCAAGTGATAACAAGCCTGTGTACTTCTCTACATCATCCTTGGATTTGGAATTGACTTAGACAGTGTTGAAACTGGAGTGTGATGTGGCACCTAAAGTAGGTCTAATCACCATACTTTTTGTTGTATGATAATGCTTGATAATACATAACATCAGATGGATAGAATGACTGTAAGGGTAGGTGAGGTGATGCGTGACCTAGGGGTGGTTACGCGGTGGATCTAGCTAGGGGCGCTAGATGTTGACCTGGGACAGGCGGATGGAGAAGGATGGATATAAAGTGATAGTCGTGAATTTTCTGTGAATTTCAGTTTGCCCCACATTTCATCAAATGTGTCTATGACCTCATATACATTTCAATCAGCCATGTACCCTTTCACAACATAGCTATGCATGCACTTTCTTTTACCACTTGACTCTACTGCCACGACTGTGCACGCCTCACCATCTAAACGACGCCAATATGCTGCGGATGGCAACAGATACGGCAATACACAAGCCGGTCGCATCCACGGAGTTGCTGAGAGTACCATACACAACGCCCGCAAAGATGTGGAGGAGCGGGGCACTACAAGGGCCCGCAAGCACACCGGTCGAAAGAAGAGCATCGACTCTCGTACTTCCCGCCGACTCAACCGCCTGATTCGTATACACAGGTGGACTCCGGTCACAAAACTTCCCACCCTTGCGGCTGCCAGTGGAATCGAAATCTCCCTGACTACCTTGAAGAAGTTTATGGCTGTCAATGGGTTTGCTCAAAGGAAAGCGGTGTATAAACCTTTCCTAAGGAAGCAGCACAAGCGTGCCCGCTACTTGTACGCTCTTGCCCACCAAAACATCGACTTTCAAAAGGGAATCTATGTCAACGAGGCAATCGTCAGAGCCGATGGGACCCATGTGACTTGGGTCACCAGGAAAGAGGGAGAGGCATTGTGGTTGGAGAATTTGAGGCCTGCATTTGGGCAGTCTGTGGTCTCCATTATGGTTTGGGGAGCCATCTACCACGGGGGGAGGTCAGAGCTGGTCGTTTTTGACACCAGCAAAAGCACGGGCAAGCGGGGCGGTGTCACTGCTCAGCTCTACCAAGAGCAGATCGTGAATAAACACCTCAAAAACCTCTGGGTGTCTGCAAAATTGCGTGTGGATGGTGAGCAGGGCCCCTTCATCCTAGAGGATAATGCTTGGGTCCATACGGCCAAGGTGGCGCGAGGAGCAGGCTATGCAAACAGCTTCTCCTATATTCCCCACCCTGCTTGCTCTTCTGATCTCAATCCGATCGAAAATTGCTGGAAGCTCCTCAAAGAGAGGATCAGGGCTCGTGGGAGAAAGGCGACTACCACCGAAGAACTTACCAGGGTGGCCAAGGAAGCCTGGCAGGAGATATCGCAGGAGAGCATCGAGGCATGCATCGAGAGCATGCCAACCAGAATGAAGGAGGTGATAAAGAGGCGAGGTGGGTATACCAAGTATTGATTAAACAGCTTCTAGCTATGCATTTCCGATGCAGGAGATTCTCATTGTTGTCCTCATCAAATCTGATATGCATAGGTGCAATACAGCGTTATATGTAGTGGTTTGAAATATACACCCCAAGCTGCATCAATGCGGCGGAGGCTGAAATTAGCAGAAAATTCGCGACTACCACCTGTAAATAAGAAGGATAATACGAGAATACATCGATAAGGGAAAAGATATGAAGACGCGGCACAATGTATGTATGGGAGCCTCCTCTCGCCTCCGCGCCTAACTTGTCCCTGAGAACATAGCGGCAACCCTGATACCAGACTCTGTGTTCCAATGTCCACGTCACTACATCTCCTCCTACTGACCAGTCCATACCAATCCCTTACACTCCCCCCGGTCTAAACTGAGCGTCCTCACAAAGATGAAACTCAGATAGGTTGGTTTGGAGAAAATATCTTAAACCCGCAACTTGCAATTTATAAAATCTAGAACCAACAACATAAATATGAATATATCTAAAACCCACAACTTGCCTCTTTGGGGCATTCGGAGCATTCTGGCCGTGCTACCCGGGCTCCTTCCCCAGCTTACCCTGGCAAAACCACGTGCACCTGATGCGACGCATTTGAGGCGTTGTCTGCTGAGCTTTGCATCTTGTGTTTTGCGTCTTGCTGTCCTTTTGAGCTACTCCTTCGACATGGAATTTGGTGCTCTCGAACCTCCCTCTGGCCAACAGGCGTACTCATCCACCAACGAATCCACCTATGGTTGTTCTGTCGACATCCACCCATTCCTACTGCCCCAGGATGAAGAAGAGGAGGGCTCTTCCTGTGATGAAGAGGGTGAGACTGGAGAGGAGGTGACTGATCCATGTTGGATGGCAGATCCCAACGCCAAATATGACACCCCCCTCCTAGAAGTCAGCACGCGATTGTTTTGAGATGCATTGGAATTGATGTTATGTTGGTGGCGAGACGGATGTTGCAGGTGGACATGGAAAGTGGAGGCAACAGTGGGGTTCCAATGGATACTACGTCATGTTGAGGCACCTGATCAGGGGGTAGCGCAGCCAGAATGCCCTGAATGCCCCAAAGAGGCAAGTTGTGGGTTTTAGATATATTCATATTGAGAAAATATCTTAAACCGCCAACTTTCACTTTGTAATATCTAAAACCGCCAACAAAAATATGAATATGTCTAAAACTGCCAACTTGCCTTTTTGAGGCATTCGGAGCATTCTGGCCGCGCTAGCCCCTGATCAGGTGCATCGACATGACGTAGTACTCATTGGAACCCCACTGTTGCCTCCACTTTCCATGTCCACCTGCAACATCCGTCTCGCCACCAACATAACATCAATTCCAATGCATCTCAAAACAACCAAAACAATGTCAATACCAGGAGGGAGCATCGGAAATCTCCAGCACTTCCTTACAAGTATCGGCCCTATGACCTTGCTTCTTGCAGCGCTTACACACATAAGACCGCTTGTCCCCCACCCGGACGTTGTCCCCTCTTTCTTGCAGAGCGGCTGCGGCTCTCTTCCGAGCAGTGACGGTAGATGTCTTGGGCCGGCCTCTCTTCCTTGCTGTCGGCGGACAACCTTCATCTTCCTCTCCACCTGCAAGATCTTCCCCCTCCTCTGCAGCCAGCCGAAATTGAGAATTGGCAGACGGGCGCTGCCCTGCCTGACCACGAAGGCTTTGGGGCCTGCCCCATCCAGCCTTGAGTAACGGAAGTCTCATAGAGTTGGGAGTGGTCACTGGAAGAGGGAGTAGGTTGGTGGTGATCAGGGGAAAATCGCAATCATAGGATGCTGACCAGCTCTCCAAGGAGTGACACCGAGAGATAAACCTAGGGTACCGTCAGTAGTCTTCTAACATACTGTAGATGAAAGCCTATACGCACGGAGCAGCAGAGAAGAACTTCCCCTCTCGTTCACACTGTGCTTGCACGGCGAAGAAGTGCTTACAGGCATATTCCATTTTGTGATCTCAAAGCAAGAGCAGCTCGCTACCTTATTCACAGTGTCCACAGAAACAAGCCTCTGTCTCTCATCCCCCTCAGATGCGTCCACAAACTT